TTGTGTTTGCACACCTAGATACTTGTCCAAATTTCTGAAGAAGCTACCTAGCAAGACCGAAAACACATATAATTCCAAAAGAAGAAACAATAGTACTTAGTCCTTAGTGACCCCCACCATGTCTTTATATTCTGCTGATAACCGACGGCTATATGCTATATGCCTTCAACATGACCAAGAAAGTGCGTGTTTTGTAATATATGTGTTTTGGCACTATCTTGCATATATTCAGGCGTTCTATCTGGCATACAATGTATTCAGGCATTCGATGTGGCATATATTATTGCATTCTATTTGGAATACTGTCGTATAGTTTTCTATCTTGCATATATTATGACATTCTATTTGACATGTATTCTGGCATTCTACCTGTGAGATATGCAGACATTTTTTTTTGCTTCTGTTCTGACACTACCTGGCATATATCTGATATTCTATCTTGCATTTTTGCTGGCATTCTATCTGACATATATTTTTGCAATTATTCTCACACTCTTACTGGCACGTATTCTGTCAAATATTCTGGCTGTCTTTGTGGCATAATTTCTGACATTGCCATGTGTTCTTGATGCCTTAATTTCAATACAGCTGGGCTGCAATAGGGGGCAGTTCAGCTTTGTCAATCATGCCGAACCCCCAAATCCGGGATGTGTGGGGCATCTGGTGAAGAGTCTTCAACTTACCATGTACAGTGTTTCTCTTAGAGCTTGACTTAGACCCTCCATGTCAGGAGGGCCAGTCCTGGCAGGGCACGTACTACTGCACTCAGGGGCGCACGAAGTTCAGTTTGGATGTCACAGAGGCCCACCTCAACGATGGACACGAGGAGATCCGGGCGGACTTGACCTTCACCATTGCGAAGAAGGGCGGCTCCGGCTGAACAGCCATCCCTGACTGACTGCTTGATTAAGAAGACCTCTATCAGGACATTCGTCCCCCTCAATCAAAGAATATATGAACATATATGATCCAACAGCCACCCCTCATCTACTAATTACAGGTCTCTTTGATGACTTAGAGTGTGTTTCAGCGGTTTCAGGGTGTCCTGCTCCGAAACACTCAGGTCCTTTCTGGGCGAAATGGCCCGCAGGGGGTTGTGGGATTCCTTGCCAAGAGGTGGATTTTGTCAAGTGCATCCGTCAAAATCACAACCTCGAAACGGATGATAAGTTTGGCGATTTGATATTGCGTGGCAGATTTCTACCAATCTTCGTGTTTGATGTTGGACCACCGCGAAACAAAATTTTGCTCAATTTGTTTCACTTTCACCTTCGTGTTACCCCAGTGACTCCCACTTTTGTTCCCAACTAAAGAACCCAACCAAAGCTCCCACTTTTCATGTGCCAAGACCGTTGTCCTTCTCGCGTCTTTGCCTAGGTGGCAACGTCACTGGTATCTATGAAGTTCTGGGGCGACTGGAGCCCAGAGGCCGTGGCCTCAATCTGGAACCGATCCCGGACAGCTGGAAAGTTCAGCCCAAGAATTTCGTCATGGCAGCTGGGCAGATGGTGGGTTTGCAGGCCAATTGAAAATGACCGGGTATGAGAGGAAGAGGAATTAGGAATCTCAGAATCTCAGGTAATGGATGCTCTATGATCCAGCAGACCCGAATGACCGGTACGACAAGACTCAGTTTGTGTTTTTTGAAAGTAGTTTGGATTGTAGAGGATCAAAGAGACACAATTAAACAGTTAAACGACGAACATAACCCGTGTTTGGTCGAATGATCGCGCCAAGCAAAGTTCCTGCCAGGTCGATCTATCCTTAAGGATCTTGCTGGACGACAGTTCTTTCGGGCACAGATGATCACAATTACAATGTCTTTTTTTTTTTAGAGGAAGACAGTTGTTCTTCTTACCGGGTCTTCTTGTGGATCAACCGCGTCGAATGAAGAATCAATTTCGCGTGGCCAGTGTAGGACGGTCAATTATCAACATCATTTAGGTTTATATAAAAACATAACAACGCTAGTAGAAACAAGAAGCTACTAGTAACAAGTGCATCGCTTCTATTAACAAGTGCCTTACTAGTAGTAACGAGAAGCTAGCAAATTAAACAGCTTTGCAGGGAGAAAATTCGACCATGTGAGGTGACATGAGCGTTTTGCAGGATTCTATGGGGAAAGGGTCGTCACAGGTCGTCAACTCGGAACCTTCAAGAAAAACGTTTGTCCTATAATATGATATCCTATAAATAGATACTGGTAGTCGTATTCTTTTTGGCATCATTTGTCCAAAAACGGACACCCGAAACTGTCCAACAATTTGACAGGAGAGATATTATATTGATTAGTAAAAGGGGTCAATGTATTCTTTGCAATCCTTTCATACTACTACATAAAGGGTTGATTAGGGAATTGATGGTTTTGGGAAGCTGTCAGTTTCGAAGAAGAACTATAGAACCTATACTTATCAATACTCTCAGCAAGCCAACCATTGGCTTAGTAGTATTAAGAATTAATATTTCATGTGTTCTACAGGAAATATACTTAACCCTAAATATTTTTCAGATAATAAAAATTAGGATCCCAAAAGAACTTAGCATAATAGAGGACCTTCAAAACAAACAGGGTGTCAAGAATTATTTTTCAAACATTTAGCATTATAGAGGGCACTATTACTAATCAACGTCCAACATTATACTAAGCAATCCGGGATGCCTGCATGTTGTAGTTTGTCGATCGTAATGCAACTGCCCCAGCACGCTTCACCTCGTCACCCTTCTAGTCCAAGGTCCCCGTGACAAGTTTCCCAGAACTCCCGGCAGTAATTATTAGTAGCAAGAAGCTAATAGTAACAGAGGCTTCTAGGTTGGAGGCCATTACTAGTAATAAGAAGCTACCAACAAGGGAAGTAGGGCAACTCCCGGCAGTCCCGCCCAAAAGCGCTTTGCGTTCGCCGAGATCCCCAGGTAGGCACCCAAGGAGTGGTCTCCTTAACCGACGACGGTACTGGTCGGCACCTCTATGCCGGCACGGTGCCCATCTACGGCTGCGACAGCTTCGAGCTCTACACGGAGGCCAAAGCGCCCGACGCTGGGCATGGGGAATCTGGTGACCTTTGCACACTTTCGGAGAGGGAAAAGGGTGATACGTGGTTGGATGACCAATGAGCCGGCGCAAGTTATTTAATTAGATTTAATCGATTTTGCAACTGATTCACATGAAGATTTCACCCGAGTCACCTCGCAGATGTGCTGGGTGCGTATAAAATTAATCGGTCAGACCTTGACAGATGTGCTTCTTGGATGAATTTTTCTGGCGGGTGTTTGGATCTTCAAGCAGGGAGCAATGGAGAACTCGAGGGTGGAGGCAGCAGTGAAAAGGAACATCACAGTATTCCGGTGACGGCCTTTGATTTGGGTTGATCCAAATCGGGTGAAAGATTTCGATAGATCCGCTCGCCCAAAAGCGAGGAAGAGCATCGGGGCCCTGCTCTATGGAATCATTGGATAAACTCTGCCTGGAATGGTGCGCTTCAAAGGCTTGTGGACACCATTGATATCAATCGGCAAAGCTGGAGAAGGGTCCTGCAACGGATTATGACGGACCCTTGGACCTTTACGGCGTTCAGTCTTGGCTTCTGAACTTGGCAAGAACAGACCTCTAGTATATATACAGTATACATTTAAAAAAAAATAAGATCCTTTGAGCATCGCACAGAATCTTTAGATGACTTTCAGGGAAGGCAAGGGTTTGCATAATAATCTGAATGCCACTTCAACGAAGGCCGACCGATTCTGAGGTATGAGACAACGGACAACACCCATGGCACCATGTTTTACTTGTTTTCCATATTGTTTGGCGGGTGATTCAAAATCAAGCTGGTTCAATCTCAATCCTCGAAAACAAAACGACTTCACTAGAACCACTAGATTCACTAATTTTCACCCCCATTGATTTGCATGATGGCTTGTAGCCCAAGTGACCAGGAAGAAATGACCCCGATGGACATGATTGCAGTCCTTGAGGATGTGGGAACTTGTCATTTCATGACATCTATAATTTAAATATATATATATATAGTATATACATACATACAGAGATTGTTGATGATTTCAATGGTTTCACATGTGCGTATGTGTATATATATATATGCATATATGGTACCATGTATGCATAAATACACATTTATATACGCATATCTATTGAATGTGTGCCACAAACATTTTTGCCCCGCCCATTTTGCGCACCAAACCCTGGTCTGCGGTTGAGAGAAAAAGGCATGCACTTATTTATCACCCGTGAGCAACGAAAGCGTGTGATTCTTCAGTGGCACCACCACAACCCTGGGGTCCATTCAGGTGGTTACCATTGGTTACCTGACAGTCTGCGGAGAGAAAAAGAAACACAACATCGAACTGTATGACTGTCTAGAACGCAATGCCAGCTTCGGAAGCTTTGGGTCTCGCCCTGGTCGTTTCTTAGGGTTACCTTGTCGGGGAACGTGGCTTCTGCATGCTTCTGCTCTGTTGATCTAGTTATCAAAGAAGGCAGGGCCCATCAGGCTACGTTCCTCTCAGCTGGATACAGATTCATGGTGAAAAGTTAGAACATCGGAAAGCTATATGTACAAAAACATGGCGTCCCCTTCTCACCACAAACTTTCGATGCAATCAGACCCCATCCCCATCCGCCCAGGAGAAGCCGAAGACTTCCTCCAACGATGTGGCGCAGATCTTCGAAGCCGCGCGCCAGGCAGGACTTGTCAGCGTGGAGTTCACCGGCGCCAACGGCGAGGAGATCGTCCTGCAGCTCAAGCGCTGATGTCGCCGATTTCGGATCCGGAAAATCGTCAAATGGGGCCAAACCAGGAGAGGTCAGTGAGCTGAGGAAAAAGAAGACACGCGGGGGTGAAGACAGCGTGTGGAGGTGGCTGGGTCAAGCGAAGAAAACACGCACGACCGGAGGCGCACCGACCTCGCACATGCTGGTGGTGAATCTCCTAAACTCCTTAAAGCTCCAGGCCCTCCTTCCAATGGCTGCTCCTTTCTGGTCCAAGGCGATTGGGAGCAATACCGACTGGGTGTGCAGGCACGCACCTGGGGTGTCCAGGTGTGTGGATGGGTGCATTTAGGCTTGCTCATGGTATCTTGACCGCATGCAGTATCGACCACATTCGACCACCGTCCGTCTTGTTTAGTAGAGATACCAATTCGCAAAAAAACGGTTAAATGTTTTGCACTGAATGGGTAGGCAGTCGTACTAGTACTCCAAGGGATGAACGCTGAAATGCATGGCAAGGTTGGGAGGTCTAAGAAATGATACCAAGTTGAGCTACCTCATGCCCGACATTTCTACCTCATCCTCCTTGACGGACCCGTAAGAGCAAAGGACGCCATAACATTGTGAGTGTGCGACAGATCTAGTAACTAGTATTATGTGGACACATTCTGTCACCAAAACAACACAAACAAAACGATCACATTTTCTAAACTAAAACATCTCATGTCGGCATCTGTCCATTTTCAAGTCAAAATAAACTATATTTTACTGAAGTAGTGAAGTCGAATTCTAATTTGTGTTCTTCTTCCATTAAGCGACCTCCTGAGGAACTGTGTGATGCTGTGTTTGTGTGCGCGTTCCAACACCTTGTAAAACGACAAGAGCAAAAATATGATAGCGTGTTTTGGGATGTTTTGGGGAACAGCGAGATTTTACATAACCCCATTATATATGGGTATGAACAAACTTCACCAAAGGAACCCTAAGAACCTGAACCACACAGGCAATAGCAGGCAATGACTAAGGCCCGAGTTCCCCTTCTTCTGGTCACCTTCTCAGGACAAGGCCAGCTTCGATCACCGTGGTCGCCTCATCACGGTTGGCATGCTGGCGCTGGAGGGCGCTGCGATGGCCGTCCTGGACGCCCTGATCTTCGGAAACGACGCTCGGCGAGACAGAGATGGTGGGGAGCAGTGCCCAGCCAAGAAGAGCACGTCGAGATGCCCGGGAGAAGCTGAAGAGAAGGGAAGGATGTTTTTGCTAAGGAACACCACATTGTGCTGGCTTTTGCTAAGGATGTTTGATTCTGTGTCGTTGATTTCAACCCCCCCATCTGGAGATTCCGTGCAAGCTCCCCAAGCTTCGCAAGGGTATGCAGGAGAGATCAAGAGAGACAGACAATGTTGATGGTCCCTCACAGAGTGGCAGCCAAACGGCATTCGATGTGAGTTGTGCAACTAAGGACACCTCATTCTTCATGTTGTATGGCTTGTACGTTCTTTTCAGCCTTCTGCTTGCATTTGAGACAAGACACTTGAAGATCACTGGACATATTTGTCCAAAAGACATGCAAAAGCTGAAAAGCTCACAAGCTCTCCCCAAAGGCGAACCGCTCTGAACCTTCTCTGGGAATGAACGTCACACAAAAGTTGCACTAAGTGCTTGAGCACTGGCTGCTAGGTAAGAACTGCCCGATGCGAGCTCGCTTGACGCTTTGCTTCCTTTCACTGACGGAGTGGGCAGTTGTGGACACCATGTGCCGTGGCCAGAGGACAGGTCAGATGGACTAGGGTCATTTTTATGTTCCCTTTGAGTAAATCTCTTCGGAATACTCTTATGTTTTGTTATTTATTTATATTGTGCTTTCTTCTGGTTCCTGGAGAATATTGAATCCGTACGATGAAGTGAAGTCGCCGGGATTCTCTAAGGCTCTTAGAATCCACTGCGAATTGAGCAGCATCTGTTTGGCACGCGAAACACCACCAAGGCTTTGCGACTGGAGACTCCAACAGCGTGCTTTTGAGCATGTCAGTGCTGACCTCAGATATCAAGGCTTTGCGACTTCCGCACCAACGATGACCGGAGTATGTCAGTGCTGATAAGGCTATACGACTGTTGTGCTGCTCTTGACTGCTGCTGGAATCAGGCCTTGGTATTCTCCTGTTTGGAGTTTCATGAGGTGTTATTCTTCTGGGGCAGAACCATGTAAACAACACACTTGAATGTCAGGATGCAGGAGCACTTGGATCATTGTGCCACTTGGCTGGAACACACGGGTGCGTGCCAAGAGCTCGGCTTTTGGACATTGATACACCGCCAACGAACAGAAGTGGGCCGCGCACTGCATGCACTGCACCTTTGGTGGGTTTTCAAGCTTGGAAGGTCTCCAGGCCAGCAGTTCCAAAGGGGTGCGGAGGGCAAGGGTGCCCATTATGATCCACTCACTTAGGGGCTAAAAGCATCTAAAAACCATTCCTTTGGAACTGCTGGAGACTGGGGACAGCATTGAAACTTCTGAAAACCCAGGAGATGCAGGATTCGGATGCAGTGCATCAGTTGTGAGAAACAGCCCTCTAAGCACTGTAAGCTTTAGCGCAGTCTCAGAGTTTGAGGGAAACAATCATCATAATTTCACTGGTCGGGACGTCCCCAAGTCAGGCCTCCTCATTTCCTTGGATTTTCCTTCGAGCAAAGACGAGCATGATTGATACAGTACCAAGCATTATTCATAGTGATCGTAGAGAGCAGCTACTTTCTTTGGCTGACCGGGAGGGCACAACTACGTTGAAAGTACAGTAATTACCTGCATGCATGTGGTTTCTTGTGTTCCCACATGCTTTGTCTCTCCAGGCCAACTACTATGAACGCCATGTGCAGAGACAGATCCATGACATTTCAGCCCCATGGCCGACAGGATGGCTGGCCGATAGCCGATAGTATATTGGATTGTCCGATTGTCCGAGAGTTGGGCGCTGCGAAAGTGCTGCAATGCCGGTGCCTTTTCCACAAATTATGATATGTACAAATATCATCAAGTATCATCATGTGTATCCAAAACAGCCCACAGCATCATCCTTTGACAATTCGGCACATGGGAATATAACAATCTAAGTCGATGGAATAAAAAGATGCCCAATGGTCAACCAGGACCTGTTGGAATCACTTGCGTGCTTCTGTCAGTGAGACTCCCCTAGCACTGGAAAAAAATGAATAGACATAAATATACTATTACCCTTTCAGAATCCTTGGAATCTCAGTAGCAGTTCTGGACTCTGGACTGTCAAGAACATTCAAAACCTTTCAATACCCATCCCTTGCCAACCATCTTCCCAACCATTGGTTCGGGTCCGGATCTCTTGGGGTATTTGTGGCCCCTGGATTTTTAGGAAGCCTTCCACCCTATTCTGGGTCTTTAAACCGAATCGAAGCGGGTGAAGTGAGGACAGCCGACCAAGCCGACTGTTCCCACCGAAGCAGACTGAGGATGTGAAGAGAGGCAATCAGAAGCTTTTGTCAATGATTTTACCATCTCATGTGGTGCAAATGGTAAGTGAACCTTGGCACTGTATTCATGGAGATGCTGCTGCTAAGCGTGTTTTCTCTTTGTTGCTTTGTTTGTGTGTTGTTTTTTGTTTTTGTCGGTGTTCCGAGCGTTGTGCGCAAGCTGTTTCAAGTCGCAACGAGCAACTTTGACTTGTCGATGTCAGGTGTTCGCGCATGCTCATGTTTTTGATTGTTTTTGTGACAGGAAGTTGAATGGAAGAAACAATGATTTGTCTCCTAACACAATCCTTTAAGACTTTGTTAGCTCAGCCGACGTGTCGAGTTGTTTTCTGGGGGATGTTCTAGCCAAGTGCAAAGGGCCAACGGACACGGGGGCGTCACGAGGGTCGCCGAGCGCAGTAGAGGGAATAGCATCACATTTTTTCAGCCAAATCTGAACAGTTCAGGATGGCATCTCCCCAATCGCAGAGGACTATCCGAACGTGTCTGTGGTTTTTACGGCTCCTCAGCAGAAAAACCGCCGGAGTCCGTGATCCACGTCATCCGGTTCTTTGTGCACTGATGCCTCAAGCCCGAAGGCCATTCGGAGCCGATGTTTGATCAACAATCATTCTGCCGTTTGTCGTGCTGCTACTGGTACAGTAAATGAGCTTGATGTAAAGATTCTGGTTTTGAGGTTCCTTTGAGAAGATGCCAAAGCTCCACTGTGAATAAACTGTTTCATAGAAGCTTTCCGAAGTAAGAACTTCTTGCTTTGCTGTGGTTCTTGGCCCAGAGACATGGAAGAAAGCGATAGAAATCGTTCATTCCATTCTACTTTCAACTTTCAACCGATCCAAGATCTTCTCAATCCGGATTTCCTGAGTTTTGAAGACTTCTTTGTGTTTCACCACGGCCCGTTCCGGCGACCACCCCGTTTGATGGCGGGGCACGCTGCTTTTTCAACCTCGGAATGTGCCAGAGAACACTTCTTCGCACGATCTCCATGGGCACCTTCCCCATCACACCCCTGGTTTTGGCGGGTGATGTGTTGATATGTGTTGATTCTCCCGAACTGGGTGAATCGCGGGGAAGTATACGCATTATATCATTAAATATCATTAATCTTGGGATTCCCGGTGTCCGAATCAGCAGATGCAAGATCCATCCAATTGGAACCGGACACCGGCTGAGGACCTTCAAGGCTTCACTGCTTTCAGCTCTCGCCACTGCGCTGCGCATCGCGACGCGCGCGAGATGTACCGGATGTCCACGTGAGAAAAACATTGAAGACCGAAGGACCAGTGGTCGTTCGTTCTATCTTCTGGGAGCGCCATTTGGCTCTGGCTGTGTGTCGTGTGTCCGTGCAACATGTAGGGGGGAGGGAAAGAACCACCCGTGAAAATGAGAGAACGGGGACCGGGATCGTCTTTCGGGGGAGAGTGTGCGGTGTGTTGCAGAATATCTTCCATCAAAACTGTTGGATTTGGTTGGACATCACTGGTGATTGGTGCATATTGAATTGTGGTGCAGAGCAGGGCCTTTGAGGTGTAGTTAGTAATTAGATGTAATTAGTTTTGATTCTGAGTGCTGCAATTGTCTGCACCAATTCCTCCGATCCTTTGGCCGTTGACCGGGTTCAAGGTTTTGGGCAGAACAGTGCAATGGAACTCAGGCATTAGCCCAATGGAATTGGTGGAATTGTTAAACTTGCTCTACTCGGCCTTTGATGAGATCATTATGGACTGGGGAGTTCACAAAGTGGCACCTCGGCCAGAAAACCGGCAGACGCTTTGGGTAAACCGAGTCCAGCTGCTTTGAGGTTTGAGGGTCTGAGTGGTTGTTTGGTGGAACAGGTGGAACAGGTCGAACCCAAACAGCCGCATTCCTCATTTCAGGGGACATCCAAGAATCAATGGGGTTGTACTTGTTACCAAGGAAGTCCTTATTATTTATGGATGCTCAGATGTTCGTAATGGTTGGTGAAATATGATGGTTCTTTTTTGGTACAGATGTTTCACCAATTTGGTATCTCTATGTTTTTGCGAGGATAGTTGCGCAGTCAGACTTAGCGGGAAGGCAACGTGAGTGGCGAAACTTCTCGGCCACGCAGGCATTTGCCTCCGAGATAGCCAGGGTGTTTAACGCTGCACTGCAGGTGGCGCATGATTACTGTAGTTGCACCCCCGCCGTTGTTCAGTTTGATGCTCGCGTTTCTGCTCTGCTTCCCGCTCCGTTGATGTGGACAGAATTATGTCCTACCTGGGGTGCTTTAAGTGATGAATGTAGGTGAGCCTAAGCGGGGCATTGGGGCCTTGCCTAACGTTTTGTTGGGAGTCATGCTTTGACATCGCTGAAGCCGTAGACTCTTTGTTTGTGAAAGGGAGAGTAAGTAAGCCGAATACATCCCGAACATTCCCGAACCACCAAGGAAGTCATTGGTGATGCCTACTTCATCTCTTCTGGCTGTCCCGTGGAGGCCTGTCTTTCCGGCAGGGGTTGTCCGAGTGTGTTGGATCTTCAGGCTTTGTCAATGAGACGCAGCGCAGGGCATTTGAACTGTCCAAAGAAACCTTGCTTTAAGCTGTTGCATTCATGTCCAGGATACAGATGCAGTCTTTACCGCCGACGAATATGCGATGAGGGCTGTGGAGGCCGGATTTACACCGAAAGTCGTGTGAGTCAATGGGCCAGGCCACATCTGGCCACATAAGTACCCTAAAAAGTGTTGGGTTCACCCGAGTTTGTTGTGTAAAATCCTTAGCAGAATAATTGGTTGTTCGGCGAATCCGAGGGTGCACCTTGGAATTCGCTCCAGCAACTTCTGACTATATAGCTGGGACTGCACTTGAATCCAGGGCCCAGTGAGATGAAGCTTTGGCAACCAGCGGCTGGTGATGAAAGTACTTTCAGTGACCACACCGGGCAGACTCGGGAGATCCTCCAGATTTGTTGCTGTCAATCGACGTCGGGATGACAAGATGGGAAGGTTGCAAATTATCTTGAAAGCGATGAGTGTGGTCATTCTCGGGCGCATAAGAGACCTATATCAGATTGTCTAGCATGTTCCACCTGGGGCTCCTGGGGAAAAGTTTAAGATTTCTTTGGATTGTGTGGGAATATTTGGAAATGGGTGGGTGGCCAAGTCTAGGCTTGTTTAGGGTTCCTTATAGTAATTAGGCTGGCTCAAGAAGGCAGCATTTCTAGGAATGCACAAGCTGTTCCCATGGTGCTGTGGAAAGGGAGGTTCATGGATTGTACTCTTAGGTGTTCAAAGGAATTGTGAAACAAGTGTTTAGCTTTTGCAAGATGTTGATTCTTGGTGAGATTCATTTGGGATCTCAGTGGTTGGAATTTTGACGCATCATCAACTTCATTTCAACTGCTTTCAGGTGGCTTTGGCTTTGCAGAGGGTGGTTCCTTCCGTTTGTGATGACAACTCGGTACAGATGAGATGCTTGGCCTTGAAAGGTGTGGATCCTATCTTGTCGATATCACTTCTGCTTCACCCTGCCCAGTTGAATCTGCTACGCTTCAAGTCACAGCTTAGACTGTCTCCCAGAATTCGCGGTCGGTGTGTCGGCCGCACGATCCGCGCATCCCAAGGATGCGGTATTCACACGGGGAACGTCATTGCCGGGGTCGTGGGCAAGACAGGAGCCGACTTGGAGACAACATGGTCCTGTTGTTTGGGGGCATGCGCTGCAGGGTATTGAAAAAATGCGCATTCTGTAGAGAGACCGATTGTGGCATGATGTTCGAGAAAAAGAGAACCCCCTCAAACGCACGTTCCATGGAAGTGGAAAACAATGGAAAACCACCTGTTTGGTCGTCAAAAAAAGGTCTTTCCGCTTCCATGTTAGTGAATCAGGCGTTGGTTTTGTTTGATGGGTTCACAAGTCCTCTTGGATCCTCTTGGGTTGGGGCTCAGATTGACCTTGGTCATGCATATTGATATGTTTGTCCTTAGGGCCTAGGACCAAAACCCTTGTTTGTGGTGGGTCCAAGCCCTGCAATGCACTGCTTCGTTGGTTCTTATGAGTTCCCCCCAGGGTTCAAAACAAATCACGCCCAAGACCACCAGGAGCCTGAAATGTATCTTAAAGATTCTTAAAGCAGTAGAAGGCTCAACCGGCTTGCCCGTTGAGAGTTCCGCCTTTGTCAATATGTGTTACAGTAACTTCAGTTCAATTTGTGAGCCATTGCTACTAGTAGCAAGTGCATTACTAGTACTAGTAGCTAGAAGCTACTAGTAACAAGTACATCGCTACTTACTAGATTGGTTGAAAAACAGGAAACAGACTTGCGACATGCTTCGACGCTTGGTCGCATCGGTTGGTTCCGAAGGACCGCGCTTTCACCTCTTCGGCCCCACTGTAGAATATGCCAATCGCATGGAGAGCACCGGGCTGCCTGGAAAGGTGCAAATTAGCCCCCCCGCCAGAGCACGAGGGTGGGCAGGGTGGGGATCTGGCAATGGGAATGGGAGCAGCATGAGGATTTGACGTCATTTAGAGGATATAAAATTAAAGAGTGGGGATTGAAAATAATGAGAAGTCTAATTTGCTTGTCATGATGTCACTAGAACCTCAAACTGCTGTTTTTGGAGTACCAACCACCCAAAGTACTGCCTAGTCCTATCAAATTCAAAGCAGGGGACTGTTGTGGCCTGTGAAGTTAGGGATCAAAGGGGTTCCAGGTGTGTGGTCTTTGGTTCTTGATGTTTTTTTTGCTTGTCTGCATGCAGTTGGCGACCTCCGGTGCATAGTTAGCATATGTTTGCATTCTTGTGCACGTAAAATCACGTAAAGACTTGTGCGAGGTGACCGTACAAAGCAATGGCTGGACCGGGGCGGGCATGACTACATCTTTGAGGATCGGATTGCTGCTTGGCCTCGACCTTTCATCACAAATCTCGCAACCGATGTCCGTGCAAATTGTATTTCAATGTACTGTATATAGGAACAGCTAAAACCAGCACCTTCCTTTGGGGGTCACCTGGCTGGAAGCCCACAACTTTGGGATCTCCAGCTAGGACACCCCAACAGCAAGTCCGTGTTGAAGGTTCTTGCGTCCTTGTGGGCCGTTCCTCATGATCTTCATTCCGAAAAGGTGGAGATCGCGGGACAGGAGGAGCGGACCTTTCTGGTGACCAGAAGCAAGGCGCCGGTGGCTTTTCCGGTCTTCGCACCACTTCTGGTGTTTTGTTGTTGGGCGCTGTGTTCGGCACATGGATTAGTGACTAGTGACTAGCGATGAGTGTGTTAACTGGTCCCTATAGCAATCCAAGACCATTGCAAACAAGGTTGACGCGGTTTTGTAACGTAAAATCCTCAGTAAGACAATGGTTGTTCGGTAAAGGCAATGGTTGTTCGGTAGAGGCAGCTATTAAACAACGGTTGCACAGCCATCTTGACCACGTGGGTAACTTTATATTGTAGGTCACATTTCATCGGATCTGTTTCGCAGTTCTCCTGGTTTTTTGGAGGCAAACAGAAACATGGACCCACCGGCATTTTTCTCTCATGGGCTGTTGGTATGTGGCCACATGTGACACAGCATTGTAAATTCTCGACAGATGTTCTTGATGGAGAAGCCATTTGACTGACCATACTGTTGACTTCGTCCCAAACCTCGGGTCAGCAAATGAAGCAACCAAGCGACGCAACATGACGCAAAACAAGGTCCCAGACGGGGGGCAGACGGGCGTGACTTGGGAGGAGGGTGACTGGATCATGGATGGAAATTAGACGAAATTAGGTATCTACCAGGACCTCCTAAGTGGTTTCTATTGTAGTGGCCCCTCATAAAGGTTCAGGCTTAACGGCTTAACGGTTTAGGGATGTCTATTAGACAACTTGTGGGTCCAGGTATAGAGGAGAGGGGATCCTTCCTTCATGCATCTTCATTCATTCCCCACTTTCCTTGCACAACCGTCAGATCGCTCTTAGGTTGGAGGCCATCGCGAGTAGGTTGGAGGCCATCTAGTATCTTCTTGTTACTAGTAGTGTCTCAAACACCAGTGCCAGGCCCGGGCGGCGCGGAAGATCCGTACGGAGCTGGCGATGCATCGGCATGTGTCACCCCACGCGTACGTGCGGAGCCTAGACCATGGGGGGAGACCAATGGAGAGGTCCGTTGGGAGATATCTACAGTCGGATGAGAGTAGAGTCAAAAGAGATTGGAGTTTGGGTTCCAGAGTTAGAGATCACAAACTTGCCCTGGACAACCCATTTGATTCTGAAAGAGAGGTCCGCGAAAAGAATTCTGAATTTTAGTATCGTTTGCAACTGCCAGAATTGCAGCAAATTTTTGTTGACGGTTCTCAGACCAGGGACATGCACCGAAACCTGGATGGCAGGTCATGTCTGCAGCAACCGAAGCGAGTGAGATCGTGTAAGCCGAGAGAAACTCCGTCTTGAGAGCGGCTGGGCAGCAAGCAAGCGTGCGTTCTTCTTCTGGGCGAGCCAAACGTTGTCCGGCCAGGAAAACACCAGCATCAGAAGGCTCGAAAACACACAAGCAGAAGGCTTTCTGGCAAAAGCCACCAAAAACACGCCATGTGACCCATGAGTGTTTAGGGGTGAGGCAGGACTTTGGCCGTTGTGCCAGATCTTTTTCGCCAGAATCAGCGAACGAACCAGGACGTGGGCTTTGAAGACGTGTCCATAGTGACGCAGGATTCCACAATTGACAATTATTTTGATTTTACATGTTGCATCCGGGTTGCAACGTTCTCAATCACTCTCTAAGCAAAAGCTGTTGGAGTGACTGATACTTTGAAGATCTTTGAAGATATACTGTATAGCTTTTGTCAAAACAGGAGCCGTGCAGCAAAGCAGAGGTGCATTGCTAACACGGGAATTACCCGGGCTCCTGTACTTGTACCGTTCAATTGTCCAAGCTACGGCAATACACAGCAGTCTCGCAGATCGGTCACTTCCTAATCAGGTTGTGTGGTTAGCTGACTTGAAGAATTGAGCGGTTGTAATCTCGGTAGGGTTGAGGCTTTAGACGGCTGGCCCAAAGGGCACAGCCAGGCAAGCCAGCCTTGGGACACTCCGCAAAATCGTTGGTGTCGTCAGTCATAGTCATAGTCTTATGAATTAAAACAAAGAAACGGGTCACGATCTGTGGTGCATCGCATTTGGAAAGTATAGTTTCCCCTTGGTTCCGCACCGTGCACAATTTTTCTGTACGGTCTGTGTCCCATGGCCAAATCCCTGAGAGTGCGATCGGCTGACAGCCTCCACTTTTGGAGATGCACGTGGCATTCGGGTCAAAACATGGGCGTGTTTGATCCGTGGTTGGATATGTTTCGGGAAGCAAGTGACCGTCACACTGGCCAAATCATACTGGCCAAACTTGTAATTTATTTGGAATTTTGGATAGTCGATGCCAAGATTCCGGCGCCCAATGCTGACAGGGTGAGGATGTGTGGTGCTTTGTGCCAGGCAAGTGAAAAGCTGAGCAAGTCCCTTTCCAACACGACTAGCCCAAAGACTACAGTGGTGAAAGAGGAGAGCTGTGTGGGCGCTGTGTCAGCAAAACCAGCAAATCCAGATGATACCCAGATCGATGTGTCTCAAAGCTCCGGGTGGGCAGTGCTTCATGTTGTTAAACCATAGCATTGTGCTGGGCAATATCATGTGGATGTGGCTCAAAGAACGAAGACCCCGGAACCCACTGGATTTAGTTTGGATTTAGGTTACATGTTTACTACTACCAGTCTGCTGGTACAGCCTTCACGACCCCGACTGTTGATGAAATTGATAAACTATGAGTATGTGACACTATTTGATGACACTATGGGGTCTCCATGTTGGGAGCAATCAACCATGTCGCTCCGATGGTTCACCACTTCATCAAGGGTTCCCGACCGGAGTTGAAGGAGTGGTCTACGATCCACTGTGATCGACCAAGATCGTGTTGAGACGTTTTGACTCATGTCTCGGGAAAAGAGCACAGGGATGGCGCAGGATGTTGTGGTTGGAGTTGCTTCGGACCTGAAATCAAGTCGACCTTGCACATCGGTCTTTTTCGAGATGGGGACATGGAGATCCCTTCACCAGCTGCAGGAGAAGACCACCCAGAAGCCAGAGGCGGCAGCTCTTCAGTTTGTATGCATATGTTGTACTTTGATTCTTTGCTTCTTTCCTCAGGGAGCCTTCGAGCCACTCTTCACTTCAGATGTAGGAGACAAATATATACTGTATATATATATATATGTATATGTAAGTAATACAACAGATCTCCAAAATAATCAAATAGACCAGCACCATCCAGCACCCGGGGTCACCTGGTTGGAAGCCCCAGCCCCACTAGACCTTCCACATGTTGGCCTAGCCATGTTTTTCAGGAGCCAAGTGGATGGTTTGACTGGTTCAAGCTGCTGGAGCAAGCGGAGCAAGCTGAGCGGGAGTCCCGAACCCAGCGGTCCATTGAGGCGGGATTTACCAAAACGCACTTCGGGGAGCGTTTTGGGTCGTTTCTGTTTGGACGTGAAGAAAAACCTAAAGAAAAGCAAGATCACTGGTCACTTGCAAAACCGAAAGAGGTCCTTATATAGAAGAATCTGGCAATAAGTGGATGCTTTTCGTGGCGGCGGGAGCTCATGGAGTGCAATCCCTTGGAGATAGAGGGTGTCCCAAACCTGCCGAAGGGGCATTAGGGACCTCAAATCCAACCGGTGGAGAAAACTGAAGCTTGATTTTTCTAGGAAAACGGCATGAGGTCAGAGTTTGGGGGCAGAGATTGGGCGACGTCCCCCCTGAATGGAGATCGCAGAGATTTGGCTCAAACAATTCCAGCGGACGCTGGAGCTGCCAAGCGCCATGAATTGCTTCCAGTGGCTCTTCAGCAGCGGGACGACTGAGATCATTCGGCCAAGCAAGTCAAATGATGGCAAGCGACTGTTGGTGCCAAAGGTGCCACAGATGAGATTGAGATTGGAAAACTCATGCATGCACGTTGAAGTAGTGAAGTAAAGGACATTCCTTGTCATGTGAGTCACCTCGCAGGCGTTCCAAAATCCGGACACGTCCAGAGATCCCACAGGGTCCCATATAGGCAAAACTGCTAGTAGTAGCTTCTTGCTACTAGTAGCGATGGCCTCAACCTACTAGCTCCACGAATTCTCCCACAGGGTCCCACAGTCTCAGGGAGAACAGATGTTTGGCTTGATGCCCTTGTGCTTCGCCACCTATCCAGCGATTGCCTTGCGTGTGCCAAAGTGCGACGAGAAGCGCTTGAAGCAGTCCTTGTCCAAAGCACTCGATTTGGTGCCAAGCGCAGCTGGACGCTATGGAGAGAATGGGGACATTTTGGAGCTCAACGACGCAGGCTGAGGGCTTGGAAGTGGAGATAGGTCTGAAGATATTTGGGTTCATATTTCATATAGACCTCCAACCAATATGTATATCATGTATTATATATATAGTTATACTAATATGTTAAATATTGGTCTATTTCCATGATCTTCTTCCGCGGGCTTTTTGAACGTCTCCTAGTCTCCTATTAAATTAAGATCTACTGTAATAGGCAATCATGTGAATGGTTGTCGCAGTCGTAGCATGGTCAAGAGCTTCCTTTTCAGCGGGTTGTAGGGTGACTTTCCATTCCCAGACGCTCCATGTCCATGGGACTGCAAATATGGCCTACATTCACCAAAAACACAAAATGCATATTCTGCAGTCCCCTGGAGCGTTTGGGATTGCAATTCATTCGAGTCGAACAGATCTGACAAGTCCCTGAAGAGTACTACCCTGGGCTTCGCTCTCTGAAGAAAACTCATTTGTGCCAGGACCCTCCAACAGGTCACCATTTGTGACTGTTAAGACCTGTTGGAGGGTGTTGGTAGATGGATGTCATTTCACGAATTCTTGCACCAAGATTCCTCCTACATCGCTGTCCCATGTGAGAAGCAGATTACTGGCAGTCAGAAGAGGGCACCCTATAGAGTCTATAGAGTTACTGTTGGTGGAAAAAATATTGCAGCATCTCACGGTATCTACACTGTGCTTGGGGAACTTCGAGGCGGTGAATGGTTCTTCCATCAACAGCATTAGTGACAGGCCTAACACAGGAGGCCCTAACGCAGGAGACCATTCTGTGGTTCTCGGATGTTTTCGGTACATGGATCAGCTGCTGCACTGATATGATACAGTGTCAGAGTGTGTGTATCTGTGTGCGTGCGCGATTTGTGTGTGTGTGTGTGTCCCAGTGTGTTGCAAAAACAACTCAGGGAAACCAGAGTCCCCTACGAACTGATCCCATGATAGCAGTGCTGTGGGTTCAAGTGAGGTCCATCCCTTTGACATCCCCAAGCGCTTGAACAAGTGAACCTGTTGAGTTGTGGACCGACTGCATGTTTATGGGGTGAGGCTTCGGAGTGACAGGAGTGATATGATAGGAAATTGTAGTGCTGTATATACAAAAATTGACAAAGCCCCGGGGGTTGGGAGGCGTTTCCATGTCTTAGGATCCCCAAACCGAAATGAGAAAATGCCCAGATTCGCTGGAGGGCCTCCAACACCAATCTTGAAGCTTCATCAGTCGCTCGCTTCCAGGTGTGCCATTTACCGTGGTCCAATCGCAGGAAGCCTCTGCACCCGAGAAGATCGAGGACCTGGAGAAAACGACCCTTGAGAAGGGTCGGGAAGTCAACGACAACAAAAGATTAGTGGGCCCCTAGTGAGAGAAAGATTACGAGCTCTTGAATTTTTTGGTGTTCCGTGTGTTGGTTATAGATTAGAGATGATCTGTGCCAGCCTCTGGCCATTGTTTATGACATGTTTATGATTTTATGTATGGTTATGATTGTGTTGATGATGTTTTATATTGTGTTAACATGTGTTGTTGGTTCGTATGTTTTGTCAAACGTGTTTATATGTTCATAAATTGCATCAGACAAATATAAAATCAACCCATTTGTGCGAGAGGCTGCTTGATTGTCTCTATGTTAGATGGAGATGTATCAAGAGAATACTGCAAAAAACTATGCACCCAAATGTCGCGGGCTTTGGACATGAGTTGAATCTGTTGAGCAACAAAGGTCTGGCGATGTTGGCTGCACGGGAATAGCAAGCCATGGCAGGTACTAAAAGGCCCAACCACTTCCCTGGTAACAAACATTGGGTGGTGCGACAAAAACAGATGCGTGAAAAAGTTCTCACGGTGTTCAGGAGTTCTTGCACTGCGAGAAGAACAAAAGGGAGTGCCATGGAATACCCTCATGTAATAGCGTTCCAGGCTTCAGGCAGGATGTTTTTCAGATGAGCAGGTTTGTGGGTAGTAAGATAGTTTGTTAAGATTTCAGTATGGGCAGGTGTTTGAATGGTTTGCCAAACATCAGCATAGTGTTTGTGAGGCTCCTTCCAACTCGAGCCCAAAATGAAAGAAGTTTCCTTGTGCATCTTTAGCCCAAGGTAGTGCCCTCTCTCTCTTGCAGGAGCCAAAGCTCCTGAACTTTGCCACCTTCCACAGGCCATGGAGTGTGCGGAACGGCTACAGTAATTTGGCCATGATAACATCTTGCCGTCGCAAGATTGAGAACACAGACACGAGCACACGAGCTTTCTCAGTTTTAAGGGTAGGGAGAACAACAAGGACGACGACTCTTGATTCATGGTCCGTTGATATAGCGGATCACCACAGCCCATAGATGCGATGTGGACTCGTCCATATGCGACTCCACCAGTCCCAGTTGTACTGGTATCGATTTCGGTGGTTCCTAGAGGGGTGACTGATGAAGCGCAATAGAAACAAGAAGCTACTAGGGGCTCCTGGCCTTACTACTAGGAGCAATGCTTGCTGTTAGAAACAAGAAATAGATAGAATTAAAAGTAATTAGAATTAAGTTCAATTAGAATTGAATTAGAATTAGGGGTGTGGGGAGTGTGCAGCGCATTGCGATGCGATGTGGCGACTTGTGATCCTGTCGCGACGCCGAGGTCCTTTGATCTCAATCAAATTGACCAGCTACAAAGATGGAAGTGGTGTCCTGGCCTTCTCTCGCTCACACATGTTGTTCGATGGCTCCTCGGCTTGGATCTTCTTGGGCATTTGGGCTAGCTTCGCAAAGAGCGACACCGTCAAAGAGCCCTCATGGCGGAAGGAGGAGGTGGTCAAACTGCTTCCTGATGATAAGGAATTCCAAGAAATGGCACAGAAAATGTTTGGCATCAACCCAAAACCCACGATCTTGACCAAACTCATGAAGAACTTTCTGATCCCAGTGGTCGGTGCTGTCATGGACACGTTCTTCCTCTACGCTGGCTACTCCTTGACCAGATATCGGTTCTTCTTCTCAGATGAAGAGTTGGCCCTGCTGAAAGACGAGGCAACGCCCAAGGAGGTGGCAGCAGGTCAAGACAACTGGGTGATCCCCGGCAATGATTGCCCATGTTTATCAATTTTTTGACCCGCCCCCAACCCTCGAGGATAGTATGGTTTGCGGCGTTTTCTTTTGTTCAGTCAAGCTCGGATGAAATCGTTTGCAATTGAACTAGACGACGGTTGGCCCGAGAGCGAGACATGTAATTGTCCAGCACTGTCGAAAAGATGTATAGAAAGAGAGAAAGAGAGGGTGGATGTGAAGGAGTGACAGTGTGGATGTGCAGGTGCGATATAGATCTGTAGATGTATGGAGGTGGAGAGGTAGATCTGTGGATGTGAGCGTGCGAAGATGTAAATGCACAGAGACGAGAGAAAAGATATGTAGAAAGAAAGAAAGAAAGAAAGACAGGACAGATGTGAAGGAGCGACAGTGTGGATGTACAGATGTGATATAGATGTGCAGATGTGTGGGTGTGGTGGGGTGGAGAGGTAGATCTGCGGATGTGCGCGTGTGAAGATGTAAATGTAGAGAGGTGAGGGGGTGTAGACGCAGATGCGTCGATGCAACGGCAGCGCAACGTCAACCTTAGTTGTGCAGGTACAATGCTGAAGAGGTTCAAGTAAAGCTGAAGAACGTACATTTCACACTGAAGCTTCCACGAACAGGGCGACCTGAGAGTAAACGACGTCACGATCATGACAAGCGACTTGTGTATTCCAAGCGAACATCGTTTGTCATGAAGGTGAAGTATACACATACTAACGTCACGATGACTCTTTTGTGGCAGCCACTTATGAGTAAGCAAAGTAGCTAAAATTTGTCAACCTCTCAAGAGAGCCGGGTGGTCGGGAGACATGACTCAGCTGCAGGGGCGCCAGAGCAGCCGCGAGAGATGACTCAGCCACGAGAGATGACTCATCCGCGTACTAAAGTTGTACTACAAAGTCCTCCACAGCTTGCTCCGCGTACTGAAGTTGTACTACAAAGTCGCCAGTTCTCATCTTCCAGCTCCACAGCTTGCTCCGCGTACTAAAGTTGTACTAGAAAGTCGCCAGTTCTGATCTTCCAGCTCTCTAGATACTCCGCGTACTAAAGTTGTACTACAAAGTCGCCAGTTCTCAGCTTCCAGCTCCCCAGATACTCCGCGTACTAAAGTTGTACTACAAAGTCGCCAGTTTTCATCTTCCAGCTCCCCACATACTCCGCGTACTAAAGTTGTACTAGAAAGTGGCCAGTTCTCATCTTCCAGCTCCCCAGATACTCCGCGTACGCAAGTTGTACTAGAAAGTCGCCAGTTCTCAGCTTCCAGCTCCACAGATTGCTCCGCGTACTAAAGTTGTACTACAAAGTCGCCAGTTCTTATCTTCCAGCTCCCCAGACACTCCGCGTACTAAAGTTGTACTACAAAGTCGCCAGTTCTCAGCTTCCAGCTCCACAGATACTCCGCGTACTAAAGTTGTACTACAAAGTCGCCAGTTCTCAGCTTCCAGCTCCACAGATTGCTCCGCGTACTCTGCGTACTACAGTTGTACTAGCAAGTCACCAGTTCTCATCTTCCAGCTCCCCAGATACTCCGCGTACTAAAGTTTTACTACAAAGTCGCCAGTTCTCAGCTTCCAGCTCCCCAGCTGCTCCGCGTACTACAGTTGTACTAGCAAGTCGCCAGTTCTCATCTTCCAGCTCCCCAGATACGCGCGCACATGGGACTCATCCCCCTGCGCCGGACCGGGCCAAAACGCACTCTCGCCTGCATTTCGCGCTAAAACGCACTCTCGCCTGCATTTCGCGCCCTCGACACGCACGAGCTCCGCAGAGGGTTGCCCACGACTATGAACATGAGCAGAGATGTAGATGTGTGAAGATGAAGATGAGCAGAGATGTCGATGTGAGGATGTGAAGATTAGCAGAGATGTAGATGTGCAGATGAGAATGTAGATGTAAAGATGAGCAGAGATATAGGTGAGAATGTGGATGTGCAGAGGTGAAGATGTGAAGATGTAGATGATACGTAGTTCTGCAGATGTTTTTTACGAAGAACCCTTCGCAGACGCTCTCGGGAAAAAGCCAGTTGTTGCATCAGGACCACACAAGAAGCTCTTTGTGCTTTCATGCTGTTGGCTCTTGGGCGCAACTGCTTGCCAAAGACCTGCTCGGGAAGTGTTGCGATGATTTTTCTGCTGGATGTCAGGACTGACCATGGAAAATCAAAACTAAAAAGCTGAAGTTGTTCCGCACCGCTGCAACACATTTTGTCGTTGTTGGAAGATGAAAACAGTCAACGAGCTCAACAAACAGTTCTCAGCTGGATTCGTGTAGGTGATTTGCCCGATTGCCAGGAAAGCCCTGAAGCTGTCTCCAAATCAGCTCATGGGAAATGGCCTCACCTTCTGCAGCCTCTCGATCGAGTCGCAGAAATTGTTGGCCATGGATCTCCCTGGCTTAGCAAGCCACTTACATCAAATGCTCTCCACAGGTGAGGGCCCTGGCTCCCTCGAGTCACAGCGAGACTTGTGGCGAGTCACCAACGGTGCCTGCGAGAGAGAGGTTCAGAACAATATTCTTCAAAAGATTCATCGGCCAGAGACTGGGTGGTCGTTTGAAAGAATGCGTTGCATTTCATCACTGGGAAAAGCGTGGAAAAGTGATCAATGTATAATATGCATCCCTACAATTTGATCGTTTTATACCCATGCTCTCCATGTATGGAATCTGAATATGCCTACATTGACCCAATAAATGACAGTCACTTTACCGAGGATAACTGTGACTTGAAATTTGCCGTGAACAACTCCTCGAAGAGAATCTTGCCAGACTATGGCATCGGCCGCTGCGATTCTGTGGTGACCAATGCCGGGCCAACCGTCTTCCTGCCACCTGGATCCACCACGATCCACCTAGTGTTTTTGGATGTTTGTTTGATTATGTTTGATGTGTCCTACCTTGATGCATATCTCTTGATTTGCCTTTGTGTTTCCTGTTTATGATGCACATCCGAGGCCAGCACAGGGAGGAATCGAAGTGCATTTGGATCCCAGCGTTTTTTCCAGCGCTGGATGCTCTCAGTCCCAGAGACAGAATGCACTTGACGCCCTCCGGCAGTTGCCCAAAAAGAAAACGGAGTGATGTCGTTCAGAAACGTCACCCTCGATTGCAAAGACTTGTGCCTAGAAAACTACTTTTGGATCTTTTCGAAGTCAGGACAGCAAAGCTCCTGTACTTCCATCGGAAAACGTGATCGTACAGCTAGACTGGACTACTGTAGCTCATCGCAGCCTCTTTGCAGAAAAAGATGTCTGACAGCACAGGGTTCCTGCATGTTCTGTCCAGTTTTCATCAACTTTCCATAATCCTCTAGAAAGCTTCAACTCCAGCACCCATCTACTGGTTCTTGGTCAACAAACAAAAGTTCTCCAAACAGTTCAGCTGTTCGACCTTTAGGCAGGTACTTAATGTCAGGCACATCATAATACGCTTCTGTCCATAGTCTCCACTCATCCACTTGCTCGTTGAGTGAAGGCTTATTGCCATGATTGGTAGGGAAAAGCGGTGCTGTGATTGGTAGGGAACTCAGGGAACTGTGCCTCTCACCACACCACAGATTGGTCGAGGGTTAGACTGTGCCTCCCACCTCGACCTGCAGGGCCAAAGCGCATCGATGATGCAAACTTGGGCGCCGTCCATGGCCGCAGGGCCTTTGAAGGCAGCGGGTGATAGAACCTTCTGCACTTGGATGATGTTGCTGGTCATAGAACCTTCTGCACTCTTTCTGGAAGGATTCGAGCCCAAAAGACCCAATGGTGTCGGGACAATTCAGTGACCCTCGATGTTTGCGTATGTTTGAATTTGTTTCCTTAAACCGATGGATGTTAGCCTACCCCAGAGATCCCCGGGCCCTAAAATGTTTTCCCCATGTTCTTTGTTGGAATCCCAAGGCCCTCCCTTGGCGAGTTCCATCGCTTGCCTGCCTTGTAGGTCTCGCGCAGCAAGATTGGCCTGGTTGTCGAGGGAAGTCAGGAGAAGGTGCAACGGCGATGATAATCCTGGCTGTTACTTAGGCAGGGTGAGTGTTTTTTAATTGGCGAATCCCAACACTTTTTCCTGTTCCTTGAGCAAGTCCAAATAATGCAAAGAGATCTCTGCCGGGCGTCTGAAGCATACCTCCTGCGATTCTACAAAAGCTGTCAACGACGTCAACGAGGTTTTGTTCATTTGAATGAAGCTGGAAAGATACCTGAATGGCACTTAGAATTCATTATATCACCACAGATGCAATATGGCAACCAGTAGATGTTAGTGATCCTGCCGTTCAACATGTCCCATTTCGGGCAAGGTGCGAGAGCTCCTTGCTCCACAACTCTGAGACATGTGAGGCCGTCATGATGCATTGACCACGGTCTGTAAACAAGAGAATCCGACTCATGTGACTTGAAGTTGTGGCTTAAATATGTCACAAATGATCATTTAATGATCCTTTGATACCCTTTAATCAGGCAAAGATGCAATTATGTGTTATACATAGAGTTTGCATGCATGGTGCCGAATCACTCATCCCTACAGCTCAAACCTTGTATGCGAACAAAACACCAACAACTCATGCTGGGTGTAGGCGATCACATTAAGGAACAAATTCTTGATCTGAATGACGAAGGCCGGAACTCGCGCAAGAGATGCACGCGCGGAATTCCGCCAGCCAAAAAGTTTGCTTGATGTGTGCTGTGTTCTTTTTCCCGCTAGATCGAACACCATAGAAGATATAGAAGACTTGCTGAGAAATAGCTAGTTCCATTGCAGTAACAGTCGGTAAAAGATGATCAATTGTGTTTTGAGGAAAATCCTTTACTAAACCATCCTTATCCAAAATGCAATTTTGTTGCTGGTGGGATAGACCCAACGAGCGAAACAGTTCAAAGCTCCACATCTCGGCTGGATCTCAGCGTTGCTTGGTTTCTGCTCTATTGGATGTTTTTCCTGACATGGGTTTGGCCAAAGCTGGTGATGAAGCCAAGGGGTTCCATAAAGTTCCTATGTCCTTCTGTGATCTTCTATGCAAGCCGATCTATTGACAAAACGCGAACTGAGGCAGCCATGCTGGACCGCGATTCGAGCAATGAGGCTGGTGAGCAAGTGGGAATGTAGGCAGCGGTGGAGTAGGGAATTGCACTCTTCAAGATGTTGTAGAGCTGCCTCAGGAGTGAATGAGGAAGAAGTCCTTGGACAAAGAGAACTGATCACTGGTTCATTCAGATGGGTGTGTGTTTAAAAAAGAATATATATATATATTTAAGTATATTATACACAGTAAGTAATGTATATTTGAAAAATTGAGACCTCCCAAAGATCCACTGGAAGAAAGAAAATAGACCAAAACATATTGGTTGGGGGTTTCCCTTTCATGCAATACACACCCACATCGCACCAGCTTGAAAGAGTTGAAGCAGACCTGCTCTTTGAGGTAACAATTGAGAGGCTCAAGGACCAGCAACTCGACAGCAGAAACAGATGATGTTGTTCTCGGTCTCCTATTCATCGGGAGAACCAGATGGTAATGACGAAGAACAACTAGGTGGACTGCCACTGGCACAGTCCTGCTTCGATTTGGTTTGTGCTTCCCTGTGTCATTTTGCGGCATCGCAACATATCTCAACAACTCGAGTGTGGGACAAGTAGATGAAAAACGATGAACCCCTGCTCTTTGACCAACAAGAAGCTACTAGGAACAAGTGCATCGCTAGTAGTAACAAGTGCCTTACTAGTAGTAACAATGTTTGCTATTAATTGACCTTTTCTATGCAGACACTTCACATCTCTTCCCCTTCAGATCTCTCAGACCCCCACGCATCGGAGCGGACCTCTCAGGGTGGCGAACTTGTTCCGTGAGGTTCAAGTCGTTGGGGCCCTCAGTGGTTCGGCGAGCCTTTTATATATAGTTATCTATAGACTGTAGCCGATCTGAAAAATAACAAAAAGCTGTAGATACTGTATAGTCAACTTACTGAAAACATTTGAAAACAAAAAAGGAACAAACTGTGGGTCACTGTAGTAGCTTAGCCTTAGCCAACTGAAAGAATAAAGTGAACACCGAATGTCTTTGGAACATTTTGGAACCCGTCTTCAAAACCTGGTCGTCCTGCGCCTTCCTCTTCCCCCCACTCGGTCCGAAGCGCGGAGGTTCGTGCATCCAATGAGTCCCTCAAGGTGGAGAATGCCGAAGCCAGACGACTGAGACGGATGGGATGGACGATATCAGATCCATGTTACATCCAAAGCGCAGGGGTTTGGATGACGATTTGGGAAATTCAATTGTTCAGATCACGAAAGCTAGCATACTAGCTGAGTTCTTCTTTGCTTTAGCAATTAGTAGTGGGATGAGCTGTGTGCCTTAAAGCTTGATATATCACGCTAACCACCCCCCCCCCACGGTTCGACTCCCAGCTGCGCCGTGTAGCGGGGGTTGGTTGAACGTGTGAACGTGGTTGGTTGGGTGTAAACGGTGGCTTGGTGTAAACGGTGCTGCTGCTGCCGCTCTGCTGCTTGCTGCTGCTGTTTGCTGCTGCCGCTGGTTGTCGCTTTTGTAGCTGCTGCTTTGCTACTTGTTGCGGCTTGGTGCTGCCGGCTGCTGGCTGCTGGCTGCAGGCGGCTGCTTCTGCTGCTGCTGCTGCTGGCTGCTGCTTGCTGCATAGGACTTGTACTTCACCGTTACAAGTTGTTTACCCTATTTCTAACCTAATGCATGCATAAGCGGGTGGTAAATTTACTCCCAAGGCTTGCTATAACCATACACAGGCTATTTCCTCAAGACACTCTATTCCTGATACCTTTTACATCCTTTTTACCAGTGCTTATCCTACACTACGGACGCCCTAGTGTATCCACAGTCCTTGTGATGCTTACCCCTCGTTCCGGCTCAAGGCATACATAAGCGGGGGGTAAATTTACCCCCCAGATTTGCCATAACCATAAGCCGGCTATTTCCTCAAGACACTCTGCTCCTTATACCTTTTACCAGTGCTTATCCTACACTACGGACGCCCTAGTGTATGCACAGTCCTTGTGATGCCAGAAATGCTTACTCCTCTTTCCGGCACAAGGCATACATAAGCGGGTGGTAAATTTACCCCGCAGATTTGCAATAACCATAAGCCGGCTATTTCCTCAAGACGCTCTATTCCATATACCTTTTACCCGTTCTTCTCCTACACTACGGACGCCCTAGTGTATGTACAGTCCGTATGATGTCAGAAATGCTTACCCCTCAAGGCATACAAAAGCGGAGGGTAAATTTACCCCCCAGATTTGCCGATCACGCATCTTCGTGCCTGCCAACGAGTGCACCCGGGTTGTTCCAATGTACCCTTCCCAGTCAGCGATGTCACATTTACATTCTTTAGCGCAAAGTATGTACATAGCAACCTTCCTCCCAGAACATGTGCTCACTACATGCTTTGCCGACTATGTAACTAGTACATCCGGTGCGATTTGGCTAGCTTTCGACCTCCTCCCCCTGGCCTCAAGTTTCTTCGGCACAAAAGCTGCACAGCATGTTGATCTGTCATTAGAACGTAGTATTTTCTGGACAAGCTAGTACCTGCCAAAGCATGGCCAAAAAAGAGTGCCGGCTTCAGCAAGTCTCAAATGAGGCCTTCGACCGTGCGGAACGGGCAGAGGATGATTTGAAGCAGGCCAGGAATCAAGATTCGCTCCAGATGTACCAAGCAATATATGAGCAGCCTATCTTGCATTGAGGGATGCTGAACACAGGAAGTTTGCTTTTGGGTAGCAAGATTTCAGGTAGATCATGGTAGATCCATTTTTGGGTTTCCAGCAGACATAGGGAGCACAGCACAGCACCAGTTTGTTCGCTGGAGAGGTTCGAACAGCTTTGGCTGACGGGGTACTGGCCCTAGAGTGGTGCAGGATCTTGTGTTCAGAAGTCAGTCATCGCATTCAGAGTAAACAGGTGCCTTACTAGTAGTAACAAAAAATTATTAGAAACAAGTGCCTTACTAGTAGTAACAGGTGCCTTACTAGTAATAACAAATTGTTATTAGAAACAAGTGCCTTACTAGTAGTAACAGGTGCCTTACTAG